AATCTGGTGAGAGGAACAACAATCTTGGAGAAATCCTTGATGAACCTCCGATAATAACCGGCCAGCCCTAGAAAACTCCTGATCTCAGAAGGAGATTTCGGCACCTCCTAACTCATCACTGCCTCAACTTTGGCGGGGTCGACCAATGTCCCTTTCTGGTTAACGAGATGCCATGGTTAACGAGATGCCCCAGGAACTGGACCTCTCGCAACCAGAAATCACACTTGGAGAATTTGGCATAAAGCCTCTCCGATCTTAGAACTCCGAGGATCTCCCTCAAATGCTCCTCATGCTGCTCTCTAGACCTCGAATATACCAAAATGTCGTCGATAAATACGATCACCGACCGATCTAACATCATCCTGCACACTCGATTCATGAGATCCATGAACACTGCCGGGGCATTGGTGAGCCCGAAAGGCATCACCACAAACTCGTAATGCCCATAATGTGTCCTGAACGCTGTCTTCTGGATGTCCTCATCTCGCACCCTTACCTGATGATATCCAGACCTCAAATCGATCTTGGAGAACCAAGATGCTCCCTATAGTTGATCGAACAAATCATCGATCCTTGGCCACGGGTAACGGTTCTTGACCGTCAGTTTGTTCAACTCCTGGTAATCAATTCACATCCGGTGTGAACCATCCTTCTTCTTGACAAAAAGAATAGGCGCTTCCCACGGCGAGCTGCTCGGCCGAATAAATCCCTTTCCCAGCAGCTCCTAAAGCTGCGAGGATAACTCTTGCATCTCTGGAGTTGCAAGGCGATAAGGCACCTTGGCGATAGGCGCGGCCCCGGGAACCAAATCGATACTGAACTCTACTTGCCTCACGGGAGGCACACCCGACAACTCCTCTGGAAATACATCCGGGAACTCACGCACTATCGGAACCTCCTCAACTGACCTTGGCCTCTCTGAATCAATCTACGTATCCATGACGTACACCACAAATCCCTTACAGCCCTGCTGTAGACACTGCCTCGCTCTAGCGGCCGAACAAAACACTGAACCAGAACGTGTACCCTCGCCTTACACCGTAAGAACTCCCCCACTAGGGTCTCGTATGGTCACCATCTGTCGCTCGCAGTCAATAACCATTCCAAATCTGCTCAACCAATCCATGCCTACGATGACATAGACGTCCCCCATTGCAATCGGGACCAAATTAATAGGAAACTGTCCTCCGAAAATCTCAAGTACACATCCTCGAATCACCTCCGTGGCATATACTGCTCTCTCGTCGGTGATGGAAACTCTCAGAGGTCGACTCAATGCCTCTCGACTAATGCTGATGTGCCGACTGAAAGCCAACGATACAAAAGATTGACTTGCACCCGAGTCAAATAACACCAAAGCAGGTACAAAATTCACAAGAAAAGCACCTACGCATATCATAATATAAGCATAAAATCTTAAACATTAAATAATTACATGAAAGAATACATACCAGCCACGACATCGGGTGCTGTGCGGACCTCCTCCACGGTCAACTGGAAGGCTCTCCATTGTGCCTTCAGTGCCTCGGCCTTCACTGGCCGACTCTCAGTAGCTCTGATGGCGGCAGGGGCAAATCCCTGAGGTGATCCCTGAGCTGATCCCCGCAACTACGGACACTCTGCCTTTCGGTGTCCGGTCTGATTGCAGTGGAAACACACTGCAAACCCCTTGGGGCAGTCCTTGGCCATAAGCCCCTCCTTGCCACACTTGTAGCAAGATCCAGCTCTACAAACTCCATCATGACCCTTGCCGCACTTACCACAAGTGAGGCCCTTCTGGCTCCTTGCTCTGGGATTAGCAGGCTTGGCCCGCTTGGCTGCCGGCTGAGACTGTGTTGATCGTCGATCCCTCCCCTGAGACTCCGCCTCCTCCCTCGCCTGAGTCTCTAGCTCGATCTCCCTCTTCCGTGCATTCGCCTAAAGTTTGGCAAATGTCCAGTACGAGGAGTTCGCCACGAACTCCCGAATACACCTCCGCAAAATACTCAAATAACGACTCGTACGTGCCTGCTCAGATGACACGTGCTCAAGGCATAACATCGCCCTCTCATGAAACATCCTGGTGATAACTGTAACGGACTCTGTACCCTGCTTGAGGGTCAAAAACCCTTGTGCCAACCGATCCCGTTCCACCGGAGGAACGTACTCATCACGAAACATGGTGGTGAACCTCTCCCAGGTCACCGCAGCAAGCTCTGCTGGAGAATAGTCTGTTGTCATGAACTTCCACCAATCCTTCGCCTCCAGGCAAAGCTGGTTCAGCACAAATCGAACCCTCAAGTGCTCCGGGCACGAGCATGTGTAGAAACAACCCTCAATATCAGACACCCATCTCATCGCCGCAATCGTATCCTGCGTCCATCAAACTCTGGTGGCTTCGTGTTGCTGAACTCTCGGAACAGCAATGCATCACCACCCTGCGACCTCGCAGCAGCAACAACTGCGGTGGCCGCTGCAACAACAGCCTCAGAAAGAGCAGCATAACACTCGTCAAAGTCTCAATCAACGTGGTCTTAATAGACTCGAACATCTCTAGTATCTCTGCCCTGATGGTCGCAGCCACCTCCTCATGGATGATCCGACGGATCTCCTCATCACTAGCCCCACTGCTCTCTGGCATAAGATGTATCCTCACCATGATCTACCTCTGAAATACAACATACGATATATTAGAAATTCACTCGAGTATACTCGCACTCGATAACTCATCCCTCCTTGATCCCTAGCATCCCAAAGATTCTTACTTGGACTATACACCGACCCAGTGTTTTCAGTAGTAAGGGCCCAATACTATTGTCCGCACCGTGTCAGTATACACCCCAAGTCCTCCTCTTCGGATCCCAAATCCCAAGTACTCTACTATGCATAATCCACTCTCTAACAGATCTCTCATAAGCTCCTCGCTGCTACCTATCCACTCTCAAGCATCTCATAGCAGCTCACCTCTCCCTAGGCCAAAGCATCACAAACCAGGGCCCTCTAGTCCTAATAGGAATACCTAGCCCACTCTACCAAGAGAATACATCATATCAATCTCATAAACATATAATATAAGGGTATTTTGGGAAATCACCGTTCGGGCGCTGACTGATAGTACACACGTTTCTGCTCTGTGTTTCTCTAAAAATCTTTTACTTCTTTTAGAAAATTTGGTTCTCTTTTGAAAATATTTTCCAAATCCTCAGTTTGAGTTCAAATACTCCCGAAGGTGTACCCAAATCCCTCAAACCAAGGCTTTGATACCAACTTGTAACACCGTAAATTTCCAAAACAATTTTTCGCATTTATAAAAACATAATTCATTTGTAAATCATAAAAACATCATTGTTTGAAACTCAATGTATAAGATATAACAATATCCCAAGATCTCGTATCATAAAATCCCGTGTGTGTACTGATCAAGTCGGCGCCTTCCCGCGATCCTCACTAGTACTTGAAACACATAACACAAAACACTATAAGCACAAAGCTTAGTGAGTTCCCCAAAATACCACATATAACACATATTAGCCACTCGAGGCTATAACTCTGTGGGTCCGTGCACCCAAACTCTGTGAACCCTCAGGTTCTAACTCTGCAAGCATGCACAACATAAATCACATAGAAGAATGCAGTACAACAAACAATATATATAAAACATTGTATCACAGAACTCTATTTACCTACTCAAGGTAAAGTATAGTGAAGACTCACCTCGCGTATCTTGGTAACTCATAAATCCCTGAAATCACTAGTGCTCGATCTCTCGAGCTATAGTCCTCCTATAACACAATACATCTCTAATTAACACTTCCTAATTAAGGTTGACTAACACTATCAAGTCAACACCGGTCAACTCTGGTCAATGGTCAATGGTCAACCCCGACTCGTCGAGTCTGGCGTGGACTCACCGAGTCCCTACGAGGACCCCATTTCCTCTAAGTCTCTTCCGACTCACCGAGTCACTTACCCAACTTGGTTACTCAACCCTTGGTTCGAAATCTATGAACAACCCGCACCAACTCGTCGAGTCTGCCAATAGACTTGACGAGTGCATTCCATGCACAACCCCAAACGACCTTCTGAGGTCAAATCTGTTCCACTAACTCATAGATCCAGTCCTTCCAAGCTTATTTATCACGTAAAGTTCATGTCTTAGCGTTCATATCACACCTAATGACTCATAAATGGTGTTTTGACCTCAAACACAAAGATCCCAAACCAAAACCTCCATGGATTCATAAAAAGCTTGGACAAAGGGACACTCTGGACCTCCAAGGGTCCAGATCCAGAACCTAACTCGCTTAAGGGACCAAATGGGCTCTAGATCTAGCCACAAAAGTGTTCAACAAACCCTAAATCAACACGAACATCACCTCAACAGAAAAGGGTTCGAAAATGGTACCTCAAATGTGATGTTCTGGACCTCAAATATTCAGGAAGTTGTTCCTCTTGCTTCCTCTTGGGTAAAACTTCCTTTCCCTTGCTAAACAACACCTCCAAGGTTGATAATGGCTCCCTCTCTCACTCCACACGCTCAAATGTACTAGGGTTTCGCTCTGGGGGCTGGTGAGCACAAATAACGACCATAAGGCCCTTTAAATAGGCCCCAAACCCGAGAAATTAGGGTTTCATTAAACAGCGCTGACTCGCCGAGTCCACCATTGCAACTCGTCGAGACCGGTCATTAATCTGGATGAGAAATCGCGTCTCTACTCGGCGAGTCTACGCACCAACTCGCCGAGTTCTTCCTCAAAACTCAAAATAAAAAGAATAAATATAATACATGAAATTTCCGGATGTTACAGTTGGGAAATTTTTTGTTTCCCATGATACGTCCAGAAGCAATTCTTCAAGACCGTCAAACTTATTCAAGCCAAGATATTACCTTGTGTGCAACAGGAAAAAACAAAAACATAAGCCCGAATATTACACTGTTTTTTAAACGTAGACTCAGAGCGCAAATTTTAACTAAACCGTAGGGATTATTTCTATATCTTTGTCTAATAAAGAATAAAGATATGGTTGTTTGCAATATGACCGTTCCTATTTGGATCATTTTAATGATTATCTACAAGATATCGTCTAGGAGTGTAACTGAGTTAAGTATGTTAAACTTGAAACTGGACTCGACTAAAAAACACGAGCTCAAAACTTGACTTGACCCTTAATTTTCAAGTTCGGCCTCATACTCGATGAAGTAATTGACACTTTCGAGCTCGACTTGACTTGATTAATTATTAAAAAATAAAATAATATTAACTTGCAATAGAAATATAATTAAGCTCGTGAGCTGGGCTCGACTTGGCTTAATTATGTAAAATATGAATATATTTAAGCTTGATTAAACTCACGAGATTCACAAACCGAATAATCTAATAATTAAGCTTGACTTCATAATATTCTCAAATAGCTTGAGCTCGAGCTCGATCTCAAGTTTCAGTTGTGAAAAATATGAATATAATTCATTTTTCCTGAATTATATGATATTTCAAAAACACATTAAAGAGTTTTTTTAATTATTATTTAATGTTATAAATGTTGAAATTGATAAATTATTTTAACATTATTAGGGTGGAGGATATTCATCCCTTCCAAATCATTCAATCTATTTGTCAGTTTTGTATGAGTTTTTCTCTTATTCTTTCTTTTCCATCTTTCCAATCTGTCACATATAGAAATCCATTTTTTCCAACTCACTCAACTCATTCAATTAAAAACATATAAAAATATCTTCGTACAAGTCCATAAGCATGAAGTACAACTAAAACGAGAGAGAGAGAGAGAGAGCTTTGCAGGTTCGATTACTCGCCTCACCTCACTTCGGCGGTACCAATTGAAGCTCGAACATGTCATCTTGGAGGTACCAAGAGTACCTCCAACCCCCTTTGATACCCTCCACCCTTCTAATTATTTCTTATGATTGATAAAATTTAGATAAAATGATAAAATATAGATAAAATGATCATATATATAAATATCTCAATAACTTAATAAGTCCTCAATATATATAAATATCTCAATAACTTAATAAGTCCTCGTAATTGAATCCTACCGGTTACTATACGAAATAGGGTTAAATTAAACGTCCAAGATATTATGGTTCGTGTGTGAGGCTATAAGCCATGCGGTTTACCTTTTTCTTAATATATTGCGATAAAAGTGGAGAAAGTGTAAATCATCACTGCTTTAGGGGGTATTAACAATTTAAGTCAAAGTACAGGGGAGATATTTGTATGGATCGTCAAATTCTGCCTCCTAAAAAGCCTCTCCATCCATGGAACACAAACAAGAACGAGCTTTTATCCAGGAACTCGAGCAAAATACCTCAAGCTAGTGAACTCGTTTGTTGTCTTTCATATACACTTCAAAATTCTACCGATTCCGGCTAGCCGGAGATTAGAGAGGTAAGCCTGCTACTGAAGCTCATCTGTTTATACTGAAAACCAGGTACTATGAATGTTTCGTTTCGAATCTCTGATGTTTTTGACATGATAAACCTATACAATTCCTGAAGTCGAATCTAATCCTTACAATTTTCAAATTAGGTCAATGTTGTATGCCGTATCAATCCCTAAACCTTGCTTATCTTATCCAAAAACCACTTTCCACTCCCAAAACCCTCAAAATCTCAAAAGGGGTGGGCTTCGTGTATCGGCTACATTACCGAAATCTGATGGGGTTAAAGTCGAGTACACTCCATGGCTAATTGTCGGATTGGGGAATCCCGGCAACAAGTATCACGGAACTCGCCACAATGTAAGATTTTCGTAACCCAATTCTCTGAATTTCAAATTCGAGTTATTAGGCTTTAGGGTTTCGTTTTCTTGATATGTCTCGACTCTAAAATGAAGTGCTTTTCAAACTTATATGATTAGGTTGGTTTTGAAATGATTGAACGCATATCTCAAGAAGAAAGGATTGTGATGAACACTATACAATCAAAGGCTTTGGTTGGAATAGGTATACAATTTGAAACATTTCTGATAAATTCAACATCAAGTATTCATCTAAACCTTCTTTTCTGCAATCAGTACAGGTTCTATTGGAGAAGTACCTGTTCTGTTAGCAAAGCCTCAAGGATACATGAATTTTAGTGGAGAATCGGTTGGTTTTCACTTATAATCCATACTATGTATTTTAACATATTTTTAACAATGGTATTTTGTATAAAAAAAAAAACCAAATAATTTGTTACTTTGTTACCTATTTATGATATTAACCCTGTATTGTAATCTTATTTAACTAGGTTGGGCCGCTTGCTGCGTATTATCAAGTACCATTGCGTCATATTTTACTGGTATTTCTTTCACCCTATAAAGTAGAACATATAGGGACATTTTTGTAATTTCATTATGTAACTTCATGTATTTAGATATATGATGAGATGAGCTTACCAAATGGTGTTTTGAGGCTTCAACCTAAAGGAGGCCATGGGTATCATAATGGGTACATTCATTTACCAATCTTGATGAACATAATGTAAAAAAAAATAAAAAAAAAAAAAATTATCTAAAATTAATTGATAACATTTTTTTTTCTTTTTAATTTAGAGTGAAGAGTGTTATGGAACATTTAGATGGTCGCCGTGAATTCCCTCGGTTCTGTATAGGAATTGGGAATCCACCTGGCACCATGGACATGAAGGCGTTCCTTTTGCAGAAATTTAGTGACGCGGAACAAAAAGAGGTAAAAAAAAAAATAGTATTGTATTTGGCTTGCATTGACTGACTGACTGGGACTGATGTCAGTTGGACAAATAATGTAACTTTATGTCTCACTCAAAAGGTGGGACATGGACTGACTCTTAATCTGTTGTTTGTGCAAAAGACGTGAATACCTTCTGCATACCAGTAGAATTAAATGTATTGAGATTTATGGAATTTGCAGATAGATGGAGCGTTGGCACAAGGGGTAGATGCGGTGAGGAGTTTGGTATTGAACGGATTCAACGATAGGATCACGAGGTTTAATTTAGGGCAAAAATACAAATATAACAAAGTTTGAGAATGAACTCATTGTGTAGTAATTAACCTCATGGATTTTAAATTATTATTTTTAGAAGGAAAATACAATGAGATCATTGTGGCTTTACACCATGCTTTTTGACTTGGTTTCATTTGCTTTTACCCCCACAATAATAACATTAGAATAGTCAAAAGCTTGTTTGTATTGGACCCAATGTTACGTGTTAGATTTAGCACCTTCAACTTTCGGAAATGCCCAAAACAGCCCTTGTACTCTTTTATCTTCTTCTTCTTCCTTTTTTTTCTATTTTTGGCAAAAAAAAAAGTGTGCATCTCAAAGTGGGATTCAATAGAAATATGCAAAATATTGTTTGCGAGATTAAATGTTATATACAAGTACGGATCTTTCACTCCAATACGCATTCAAAGATTGCAAAGTAAACGCCAAGATTGACAAAGCAAAAACGTGTTATATGTCCATATTGCCCCTATCCGAGAATATTACAAGTGTTATGTAGAAAATTTTGGTTGAAAGTGAAATGGTTTTCTTGTTTTATACTTTTGAATTTATAGTTGTTTTTAATTCTCTAATGGCTCTAAAAACAACTAGAATAATGTTGTTTAATAAAGAAGATTATTTCCTTCTACAAACCATAAACACTTGTCAAATTTAGAGTATCTTTTTTCCCTATTTGTGGCGAGTATATAGGTCATAAATGACATCTCTTCCACGATCATATCATTTTTGTTAATTTTGTTAACAATCATGAAGTTTCAGCAAATATACAAACGCAAAGGGGGTAAATTGGAACATGCCAAATTTAGCTTCTTTTAATCGAGTACATGCTCCAAAAATTCAATAAGAACGTTGGAAAGTGAAATTAAGAAATCAAAAAGTACACTTTACCCCCCTCCCCACCTCCAGTCTCATAAATTAGACCGTTGGAGAACTCTTTTTAAAACAAAGAGCACCCATCACCACCATTAACGACAAATCACATTCTCAACTTCCGATCAACGATGGCTGGAGAAAAACCCTCAGCCACCACCTCCGATCATCTTTTCTCCATTCTCGATCCTAAATCTCTCATCTTTTCACAATTCAGAGACACCAAAAACCCTAATTTCTTACATCTCACTACCGACAATTTCATCATGGAGAGAGGACCCAGATACAAAGCTTACGCCGATCTCCGAGAATCAAAAATCCGGTTGAAATCCATGGCTAGCTCACCTCAACGTCCACCTAAAGATCATCGTTCTGGTAATATCTCCACCACACCGGAAACTCAACTGAAAGCACCGGCAAAGCGGCGGAAAGGGTCGTCTATTTTGACACAATCTGTTCCGGACTTTTCGTTTGCGTTGAGGAAAGAGAACAGGAAGCCGGCACTTCCACCGGTGGCAGAGAAATCTGCAACACCACCGGCTAAGAGTTCTTCGAGATTATATGAGATTAATGCGAAGTTGATGGGGAGTAAGTCGTCTGTTTCCGGCGAGAAGAGCGGCCGTGGGATGTTGACGGCGAGAAAAAGCTACGCAAACATGGATGAATTGAAGAAATTTTCCTTGGCAGCTGCAAACGCCATTAATGGCGAAAGCAAGGGCGGGAGGATCACCGGAAACAGGGGCGGAGGAAGGACTACTGTGCTGGGGAGTAGACAGTTTAATTGAATTCTACTTTACTAATATTCAATATTTTTTATTTTTTCGATTTACTTTACATTTAAATGAGGTATTGATTTTAAAAATCTTCTAATATTCTTATTATTTCTTTTTTCATATTTTGGTTGGATTTGTACAAAGTTTTTGAGTGGGCTTCCGTATGTAATATTCGTGTAAATCCTTGGTATATTGATTTGCTTTGGAAATTAAGTAATGAGATTTGATTTGATATGATTTCTAGTTTTAGAAAAATTAATATTATTTTTACAAATTTAATTAACGAAGTTTCGTATAAAGAGTTGTATATATAAATACTAGATGACATAACCCAAATGGGCTGCTAATCTATTTCTAAAATACAATAAAAACAATTTTAATTCGGGTTATAACTAAGAAACAATTAGTACATGAAGTGTTTAAAACATCAACCCTTCATTGTTTTCTTCTAAAAAAATTGATTGTTGAGTTCTAAGAAACAATTAGCACATGAAGTGTTTAAAACATCAACCCTTCATTGTTTTCTTCTAAAAAAAATTGATTGTTGAGTTCTACAAGAAAAACAATAACGATAATAATAAATTTGTCAAACATTTTGGGGATATATACACTAAAATCCTAATATTTTCAACGATTTAATAAATAAATCAAAAACTTTATTTTTTTTACAGTAAAGTCCTAACTACCGGTAGTTTTTAACATGTTTACATTTTTTGCCGGTTAGCCGGTAATTAGGGTTTTAATGTCAAAAAAACAACGTTTAAACTTTTTTGTTAAACTGTGAATTAGGACTTTACTGTTAAAAAGGTAAAATTTATGATTTTTTTTGTCAAATCGTTGAAAATATTGAGACTTTAGTATATAGTCTTGGTTTTCCTGGAAACAAATGATTTTATGAGCCTCGCGAGACTCAATTCCTATCCCAAGCACTTTTAATTGTGATATTTATCGCAACACTACTGTTTTTCTTACTATCATCATCTTTATCCTGCTACAATCACGATCAAGGGAAACATATACAAAAGAGAGAACAAAAGAGGATAAGAAGACTTGTAAAATTTTTTTTCTTGGTTCACCACTAAATCTTAAACTGAAAAGAGGGGACAGATTGTGCAAACACAAACAACAAAAGCTTCGTTCAAAGTGTGTGAATGTGGAGAAGGGGTAAGAAGGGCAGTTTTATCTTTTCTGGTTTCTTAGTTCTCCATTTTTAGAACTACAAAAAGCCAACACAACCTTGTTTCTTTCTTTCTTTATTGATTATCTTAATTTTTTCAATGCCCGTTTTTTGAGATTAAAAAAAAAAAGTTATTTAACAAGAAGGAAACGTTAAGAATTTCAATAGGATATAGCTCACCAGAGCAGATTGGGAAAATTCCAATAACTCTTATGCTTAAAGACTATCATACCATTAAATTCTAACAAAAAAAGGGATCTAGCTCACCAGAGCAGATTGGGGCAGCGTTGTGCAGATCTTCAAGTGTGGCTTAAGATTTGCACATAATCCAGTTTTAGCGTGTAGTGACAGTAGGATTGGTATCTGGTTTGACCCGACTAGAGTTTGACAACATTTCTAATGGCTTTGGAAGTTTTAATGGGCTATTTACGTATTGGTGGGATATGTTCGGTTTCAATCAAGTTGTAGGATCTTAGTCTTCGGCCAGACATGAGGATGTTTTTGTTAGCGGTTGAGGTTCGTCATTTTGGTTAAACCTATTGGTACTAAACCATACATGAGTATGGTTTCTAAAGTCAAGATCTGATGGGTTCCCGATCCCGGGGAGCATGTTGATGGAGTTGTTTCGATCATTGTAGTTTTGAGAATCCCCAACTATGTGGCTCTCACTAGAAGTTAGGTCTTATAATTAGGGAGTTGTGGAATATGTTGGCGTAGGGGTGGCAATTGATGACACAACACGAAAAAAGAAACGACACGAAACAAAATTGGGACAAAACTGAAATTTGAATTCGTGTTTGTGTTAAGTGTAAAAAAACACGACGTCGCGTCGTGTTGTGTTCGTGTTTAAAATTCGAAACGAAATTGACACGATTTAGCATTTGTCTGTCGTGTTTTTCGTGTTATATATGATTAAGTATTAATTAAATAAACTAATTTTTATTTTATTTTATATTTTTCGTGTCGCGTCATGTTTGTCATTTTTTAATCAGTTCGTTTTCGTGTTAGTTACAAAAAACACGACATCGTGTCGTGTCGTGTTTGTGTTACTTAAAACCTTGTGATGTTGTGTCTGATGGGTTTTGGTCATAAGACATCATATGTGCTCATACAAACCCTAAAGTTTGGATCTAGGTTTCTCTATTGTACATGCAAGTTATCCAAGACTATAAACCCTAATTCTAGCATTCAAGTAATCATATTAATATGTAATCAAGTTTAAGATCATACATTGATTGTTATGTAGCAATAACAATCCCAATTCCTCCTTGAATTGACTTTGGAAGGCTTAGAGTCACAAGTGTCACTCCTCTAATGGTTCACAAACACCATAAGCAAGAGGATGAAGAGGAGAGAGGTTGGAGGCTACCAAAAACGTGTAGAAACCCTAACAAGAAGCTTAGCCACGTTTTTGAGCCTTAAGGGGTCTTTATATAGTTGGGCTATTAGGGTTATCTAACAAGGAAACCGTAAATTGGATGCTTAAGCCCTAAGCAACCCATGGAGCCTTTTTCTTTAAGGCCTTGGACGATTTCATATGGGCTTCCCCCATAGAATTCGTCCACCTTATGATATAAGGCAATCCATGGCCCAAATTGTAATTATCTTATAATTACAATTCCAGTCCCTTAAGTTTATTTAATCTCTTTTAGTCACAAAACTAATTACTAATTAATTCTTGACTAATATTAATTAAACAATATGATTTCTCTTTTAATATATTATTCTCATAATACATTAATAAATCATATTTAATCATTTCTCTCCATAATTCATCCTATCAAGTTGCTTTGGTGAAGGCAACCCAAAAGGACCATGCACCATCGGGTCAAGTACATACCAAAATAGTTATGGACTTAGACACTAATCCAACAGTGTCGTGTCGGACAAAAACACGACACGATGGCCCGATTTGCCACCACTATGTTGGCATTGTATGTGTTTCTCTACATCGGTTATTTAGCTGAGATTTGTGTTAGGAGTCGCCTTGTTTTCAAATGGAGGGTTCAACAACAGTGAATAGTCAGGGTTATGTATTTTAGTGGTATCAGCAATGTAATTCGGGGTTGGGAGGGTTCAGTATGGTCCGGATTGTAAAGTAAAGTCGTATTGACTGCGTTCCAAGATAGTTTTGCCTGCTTGAGAGTTAGTCAAGGAATTGGATATCTGGATTTTTGGCAGAATTGTGATGGTTATTCTTCAGTGGTAAAAGTTAGTGGGTCAGGGATTTGTTTATGGTCGAGATACGTGAGTTTCACTAATACTGGGTTGAATATAGTATGGAAAGGCAGTCACCTGTATGACCCGGCCTCTTAGTTCGGATCGGGTTTCGGGGAGGATTGTCTGAATGGCCCGAGTCAGAGATGCGGGAGCATTACCCTGAGTTATTTGCAGCAACAGACGTTGAGGATGAAGTCTAGTTCAAGTGGGGGAGAATTATAACATCTAGTCTAGGTATAACTGATTTTTGTATGTTTTGAATTTTAATTAGGAGACCATGTCGTGGTGAAGCATGACTACGATGTGGGGGAACGCTTTGGATTCGTGGGATTTTAATGACCCACCACGACGTGGGAAGTGTTTTGAGTGAAAACCCTAATTTCAGGTCTTGGACCCTACATAAGAAACACTAAGGCTTAGGTTTCATCCTCCATCTTC